AGTTTATTATATATATATATATATATATATAAGCTGAAAAATAATATGTGATCAATATGCCTAGATTTTTTATCAGGGAGCAGGATACCTTGCCCCCCTTCAATTTCTGCTTTTCTTACAAGAATAGTTACCCCCACTGGGACAGCGATAAGTCTTCAAATTTACACTGCTAAAATTAGGAGTTCGATTCCCCTCAGTGGACACAGCAGATAGCCCGATGTGGCTTTGCTATAAAAAAACACATTTACAAGAACAACAAGCATTTGATTAACAAGTTGAACTATTTCTGTCAACGATTTAGGTAACAGATACAGGCATCACACCTTTAGTCTGCACCTCTCCAACTAGCTGTGTAATATAATGAGTGCAAATCATGTTCTTTCATGAGACAAGTAACTGAGGTTTATTGGCGTATCCTGACCAGTTCTCATAGGAATCTATAGTACTGTAATTTAATTATCTGCACCATTTGTATTACTCTTGTTAGAAGAATCCTAATACCAATCACATGTATTATACATATGCTTCTCATGTATGTTAAAAGAGCAGGGTTGAATGCTGATGAAAATGGAAGACTAGTTACCATAAGACAAATTCAACATGAGCATAACATCCCATCACCCTTTGTTCTCCTGAAGAAGAATAGTCAACTATTCGAAAGCGCTGGAGCTTTGGGCCTTATTTTAAGACTGTAACATTGATGTTATAGTCGCATAATGATTACGAATATTAGAGCTGTGGGACTTATTAGATTAATCTATGTAATCAATTACCTATTAGCAGTGATTACACAGATTAGTGCCACCTAAACAAATCAATTAATCAAAATTACAATTAAACTGACTAATTGATATTATTGTTTCATTATTATGATTGTTGATTATTTCATTAATCCCTCAATCAAAATTAGGGTTTCTGATAATTACTATTTTCAATTATCCCAACTATCTATAAGTAACTAAAATACTGCCAAAAAACTTGCTCACCCTGTCTTTGTTATAACAAAGCTATACAAGCTGTTTGCAACTGTCAGTAATTTTGAACTATTGACTAGAGGAAATGCAATTGGCTGGCAGCACCCAATACCAGTTTTCTTTTTTTGAAATGCTCCTAGAGGAAAGACAAGTATATGTCAGTACCAGCTGCCAACCTTTCTGTTGTTGTTGAACTTCTGACTAGAAGGAAAAGATCTGTCTGGCAAAACCTGGAACAGCTTTTTTTTCTTTTTGGAACAGCTGATTAGAAGAAAGACCAACTCTCTAACAACACCTGCCTGCTTTTTACTTGCTTGCTTGTAGGTGCTATGATTTGAGGACCACTGTTCTAATTGATTAATATAATCAATTAAAAGGGCCAATGATTAAATAACTGATTAGCAAATACCACTAACTGCCTAGCTCTAGTTACCAACTGATGCTGTGTCATAGAAGGTTCATAAGAAGTAAACATTTGGCACCAAATGCAATGATAAGTGTGATTCACAGCAGACTATAATCATACTGCCAGTGTCTTTAGGAGTGTCCCTATGAATACAACTTTGACTGCTTGAGTGAGCAAATAAATACCAATGGTTTAAAGTATGAAAGCAGTCTTCAAAAGTTTTGTGCCTTTCAGTGTTTTGGAAGATCAAGTCTTCTGTGGAGACATGACATTAAATTTGCCACAAACATCTCCATATGCTCAAAATCTATGCAATTATATCAGTTACGTTCTCTACAGATGGTCATTCCAAATCAAATCAGGTCCTTTTCTCTGTAACTGTTGACTACAGCACAAGTTTAGAGAATTTTATCAAAAAAGTGGCATAAACAATGGAACTTTTTGCTATATTAAAGAAACTGAAACCACGTTTACATTGTACTTTTTGAAAGTCAGTTTAGACCTTTAATCCTTAAATTCCTAAATGTGTTGTGCTTTGTTTTATCAAATTGGAAAAAAAGGATAATACTGTTTGAAATTTGAGATGAAATTTATAAAGATTATGTACCTATTGCAAAATACTTGAGTTAGGAAGCACATTATACTAATACAATAACAGGTAGGCAAACAACAACTTATAAGCATCAGGATAAACTTTATTGATGGTGGAACATACTACAAGTTTTGACAGAACATTGGTCTGTCTTCTTCAGGTATGATCAATACTAAGCAATACAAGGTTTATATATCATTACAAAGACAAAATACTATTTCTGTCACATTTAATCTTTTGTCGAAACATAGTATGTTCCACCATCAATAAAATTTTTCCTTATGCTTATAAATCATTGTCTGCCTACCTATTATTAATGTAGTATCATGCTCAGAAGTAAATTCAGGAAATTCATAAAAACATGTTTTTGTTTGGAGCTCAGTGTAATCAACCCAAAAACCAAATTATGCAATTAAAATAAAATTATGTAGTAAAAAAGAAATAAATAATATCTTTTTATTGAATAAATTTCAACATTGGAGTATGTAAAGAAAATGTAGGAAAGAATAACTTCAAACTTATTTTCTGTAAGTTTTATAATGCAATGGTGCAATTATGCCCTATGCACACCATGAGGCACCAAAAGGATTATAACACTTAATGTTTTAAGTAAATATGAATAAAATCAATTGCTTCAAAAAATATAATTCTAAAATAAATTCATAAGTTTGAGAAACATCTAAGAAATGTACATATAAAAGCTTAAATAAATAGGAAAAACCACAGAAGGCTTAAAAAACAAAGCAAATGCATATAACAATTTGGAGGGGATCAAGAAAATCAAATTACTTTAAGAAATTTTGTGAACCCACAATTCAATGAGATACATACTTCAAAAGGATGTTATATTGCAACAGCTTACCAAAAATCGACAGCCATAAATTCTGACACCAAAGTGGATGCTCTTCATTAATTAGGTTCAATCCTTGGTTTTGGTCTACTTGACTTATTATCTCAGCAAATAATGTGACCACTACTTGTTGCAAATGTTGCCATACAGCTCGTCTGAAATAGCGAAAGATAAACATTAAAATCAGAAATTGAAAGTAGAATGGTAAACTGACAAATTATTTCACTGGTCTTACTGGTAATCTAATAATCAAATGAAAACTTAAATCTGATAAGACTTCCAATATGAGTATCTAAAAATAAGAATTTTTTCACGTGGAAGATGGTGATAAAATATATTATTCATCTTGATATGACAGATCATTTGTGAAAAATTAATTCTTTCCATTCAGACTCAATTGACTTAACCACAAAGCAACCATCTATATCTATAACTTTTGATATGTTTTGTGTATCTTCACAAAATCTGGCAAGCTTTCAGCAAATATTGTAAGTCTTTTGTACACAAAAAATCAGAAGATTTGTCCGTAAATATACGGTGTCACAGTTTTGACTTCTCTGAGTACAAAATGATTTTCATATCATTAATATATAATATTATATGTATATATATATAATAAATATCAAGCATTTTTCTGTTATTTTTTTCAGTAAAACTTTATATTTTATTTGTTATTTTCTCTATCCTAACTCTATATGGACTCAGTCAAATTGACCGACCTCTTCACCACAATAAAAAAATACGAAATAAACCTAAATTCTTATTTTTTTCAGAATGACTGCAAATTGTAACAGAAAACCATAATTGTTTATCATAAATATCTTAACTCATTGACTACTGAGTTGCTTAAAGGGTACAGTCCACCACCAGCAGTTGAATGTGATTGTGCTGTATACAGTGTACGGCTCACAAAAGTTCTTAGCACATAGAAAGCAGCTGTAATCAAAGGGTTAAATCTCATAACATTGTACAATTGTTTATACTTAATTCTATTGTTTTATTGTTCTTTTAACCATGTCTAACTAATAATCCCACCACACAAGTTATAAATCACTCGGTCAACATGTAGCTCACGATATTGTATTAAATGAGCATACCTCCTAAATAATTTTTATCATCATTGGTTTTCATAATTTTATCTTATCTAGTCAAACGAGTTTTTAACTTTTACATTTTAGTTACTTTTATAGAAATAGTAAATAAATAATATACTTGAAAAACAAGAAATATAGTACTTTTTCTTTTGTCAGTGGCTGATGAAATTTAAACCTATTTTTTATATACTTATGGTTCTATAGCATACTAAATAATTTTTATTTACTTAAGTAATGCATCTAAGAACCCAGAAAAAGCACTAAGCAAACAATGTCCTTTAACTATC